CTGGTATGTGTTCGCATTCTGTTCAGTGAACTGACTGGCACGAAAAAAAAGATTGTTTTGAAAAATCCTGGACACTATGAATGATTTTTGTTGAATATTTTCGATTGCTACAACAGTTTCACCCGCAAACTGACCACCAATCGGTACAGCATTGACGAGGTCCAGTTGTGCTGCTGAATAGGAATGTATACGACTTAGTGAGCCGGAACATTCCTCTTTTGATAATTTCCTTTTTATTATACATTTTTATGACTATCACGGAATTCGCTGATACCACAGATGCGACGCAGTTTAGGAGTTATCAGGATGCAATTATAATCAAGATTAAAAGATAAGTGGGACAATGATAGTCAGTAATTAAGTTGCCAGATAGTAGGAGGGAGGGAAGGGCAGTACAAGGAAGGGGATTAACCAATTTATAGTAAGAAAAATGAAAAAACTTATAACAAAAAACTGAAAAGGAATGTTTCGGTCCATTAAGTCGCATACAATCCTTTTGTGATTAAGCCCCGTTGTGTCTGCATATGTTCTCCCCCACCCCCGTCCCCTCTTTTGGCCTAATCAACGAAATGTCCACCTACGGGACTGGGAATTCCCAGAGCATAATGTGTCCTTCTGACATCGAGGAAATCGCTCCAGAATATGTTATGAGGTCGCCGCAAGCTTGGAACAAACATTAGTTCTGTCTGTGTCCGTGAAACTTAGAGACAAAAAAAAATCACTATAGTGTCAATTTTCTAAGGCAAAAAAGTAACTTTCGTGAAAGTTCTCAAAAATTTTCCCAGAAATTTGCATGAAGTACGAGAAGTTTTCTCAATAATTTTCACGAAATTCGTGAAGCATCACTCCCGAATATAGTACAGGATTTGACTCACATTTCGGGTCTATGTCCTGAAAAAAAAATCGACAAAACGAAGAAGTTAATTGAAAAAAAATAATCATAGTTACTGGAAATTCTCAGAAAATTTGAAAAAGTTCGGGGAATCTTGTCCCACAGGCTGCAAATTCAAAAAGCACTTTCAGGTCTCTTCGTATGATCAAACGCGGGAATAAAAAATTCGGCAAACTTGTAGTTTTTTGAGGTTAATCGCGGAAAATCGAGGTTGAGAGGCCCTGAGGGGGTGAGCTGGCGCCTTCGGGGTTGTCAGACGTTGGAGACGGTGACTAACGGACACTGGGGACGTTGCGGGGCGGAAGTCGTCATCCGGAATTCATCTATTTTGTTGCGGAGGGTGTTGTGTTTGTTGCGAGGAGCAGGTCGTACCTGACTCGGGTCCGCGGTGTCAGGCGGGGCGGGCCGCGCGGTCTATCCTCG